CTTAGAGGGAAACTGCTTTTGTTGGTTAGTCAGTACTGTTTTATGCATTTGTTTTTCTGGTTGTGTAGGAGCTATAAAAATCTTTCATGAATTTTCATAAATACTATTATTTGTAAAAGAATTGACTTGAGAAGTAGCCAAAAGAATCACGTATGAATCCTGCTCTCAAATAACTCACACCAGAAGATAGAGGATACAGTTCCTGGATTTAATTTGCTTCACCCCTTGGGGAAGGTTAAAGATTCACTAGGCTACAGGTAAATTGCTGAAGAGTTGAGAGAGGAGAGAGAGAATATGGGACTAGAGTGGGTAAGGATACAAACAATAGGAGCTTGGATTTGGGCTGGATCCTGAGGAGGGTGGCTGTTATGGCAACAAGTTAGAGGCAAAGGCTCATGTGTGGGAATAAATCAAACATGTAGGAGGATCAGTAAGAGAAATCTGACCAAATGAAGGAGCAGGAATAGTAAACGTATGCAAGAAAGGGAAAAAAGGACTTGACTGGACATCTGGGTGTGCAACTCACTGAAATTGGACTTCATTCTACAGGTATTTGGGGACTCTTGAGAATCTAAAAGTAATATGCTCAAAACACTTTTCTAAACCTAGATTACTCTGGCAGTGCTGTGCAGGTTGGGTTTGAAGCTGACAACCAGTAAAGATGTTCTGTTAAAGGCCACAGTGAAATGATCCATGACCCTAGACTCAAATGGTGAAAATGTGGAAGGAAAGAAATATGCAAAGGAAGTGTTTTCCCTAATATAAACAAGATCTCATTCAAATGGATGTTAGAAGTTTTTATTTCTCTTCAATTATGTGATCATTTGTCTAGTATAAAGCTAACAGGGATGCAGCAGTAAAAAGAATATAATATTGATACATACTACAACATGAGTCTCAAAAACAATGCTTAAGTAAAAGAAGCTAGATGCTAAAGTTCATATTGAATGATTTCATTTCTATAAAATGTCTAGAATAGTATAATTTATATAGACAGAAAGGAGAAGGGTTTGGTAATAATTCTATATGTACTCAGTTCATTAGTGAATATTTTCATGACTTTTTCCTCTTTATACATCTCAGTAATTACGATCTTTCATAAAATAAATGCTTGGCTATTGAGGACCCTTTGGATATCGTAGAAATGAGAAATAAGAAATATTATTCCAGTCTTTAAAAAATCTGAGTCGATAATATTATCTGAAGAAATGTCGGAAAAAAATAGACTTGGAATCCTTACTTGGCTATTTATAAAATGGGTAATTTTGAACAAGTTCTCTGTTCTTCATTTTCTGTTCGTTAAAGGGAAGGGGTCAGATTAGACAATTTCTAAGCTTTTCTAGCTCTAACATAACTAAATATCTAATGTTTTTGTGGCTATTTTCGATATATTTTCTCACTTAGTATTCAAGTATTTGTACCATATTATTTGCAAAAAGTCACAAAAGTGAGAAGATGAAGGTGGTTTTCAGCAACAGTTTCACCACGTGTATTTTGTGGTTGTGGTAGGTCGTCGGGCAGGTCAAACCCTTTACAATAAACTCAGCAAGGAACCCACTATGTTTTCAGAGAGAAGTTTTATCAGAACAAGTTGTTAGTGCATTTCTATCTTCAAAAGCAGAGGATAAAACCAGCCTTATTTGACCATTTTGTCTTTCTGAGTCAGAAAAGGAAGAAGCACACGTTGAACACAGGATGACACAAAAAAATGAATACTTTTTTAAAAAAATAATGGTGTTAGACTTATACCTTCAGACTTACTACATTTTTTCCTTCAAACTTTCAGGTCTTTTTGTTTTTTCTTGTTATATGTTTATTGACTTTGTGAGAATTTGAATTTTGTAAAAATTAGTTTTACTAATTTCTCCTCAACTCTTATGGGGAGTAGAGGAATAATGTCTGCCCGCTGGCCATCTGGGGTTCTGCTTGCCAACTTTCTGACTCAGTAGCGTTTCCTAAAGTCTGTGTGCCCCAGACAAAGAGCTCAGCTCTGTGTGCCTCTTCCTACTGTCCACCTGCTGTCCATAGCATTCACATGCAGATGTATCAGTGCCGTCTTACTCCCAGCCTCACCAAAGTTTAGAGGCTGGAATGGAAGGTTGTCCTTTCCTGCTACTCTCTCGCTGTCCAGATTGTAAACAACACCTCCTCTCTACCCTCTGAACCTAGGACTTCAGAGAGTAGGAGTACAAGTGGTGTGATTCCAGGGAAAAACCCAGCACCTTCTCTATGAATACAAAGCCTGGATGGAACACTCTTGGGTAATTATCTATCAGGCAATCATAGAGCATTCTATAAATAACATGTGAACTAATGAAATTTATATTTAACTCTTACATTAAAAAAATTTAATTTAATTTAATTTATTGGGATGACATTGGTTAATAAGATTATATGTCTCAAGTATTTGCAGTGACATATATTAAATGAAATACTTTTATATCTAATAGTTTGTTTTAGACTTTTTATTATAACAAGATTGGGAAATGTTTATGAAATATTTCTGTTATAATGGTTTACTTTATCATTCTAAAAGTAATATAATTATATTTATATTTTTTCAGAACATCATTCAGTCATGATTTACCAGGATATTTTCAATAGAATTCTTGTCCAAGGAATATATTATATATAAGTAACACAAATGTAAATAAACATAAGATTTACTATATTCTTTGTAAACATTACTACATATTGTGTATACCCAATCTATTATATATAAAAACTCAAAAATATTTTATTGTCATTCTTTGTTACTTATATCCAAATAATGGTAAATACTCTTTTTAAAATCCTTGATGACATGACTTTAACAATATACTCACTGTTTTTAAAAGAAAAAAATTCAGTGATGACTGGCTATAATTACAACATTTAATCACTTTAGTATATTAAAATATAATAATGGTTTATACTTATAATCTAAAAGAATTGTTTCCAAGAGGGAAACAACTTTGCAGTATGTTAAATAAATTTGGGATAGCATTGATGATTTGAAAAGGATCTAAAATGTCCAGTTTCCCCTGAGGCTTATGGTGACCATGTTTCAGGACAGATTTGTTTGCAGCGGTACAATGGGCCTATTGTGGCTACAGAGTTCACACAATAGAGAGATGAAACCTGACCAGGCAATGTGTCATAGTTCTAGAATCACTGTTATGATTTTTCACTGCCCCAGTAATTGGAGAGGTCTAGACACAATGGCCAGAGAAGATTATAACTTCAGGGAAGTTTCAGTGTATAGGAGGGCTTAATGCATGGTTTATTTATTATTTTGTATATATTAAACATTACATGATAAAATAAGTAATTCTTTTTAGTAAACTAATAGGTAATGAATGGTAATCTTGGTATTACTACCTTGGTTTCACTTCTTGATTATGATTGGTTGTAAATGTTTTTTCATATTTTAATTTGAATGTTATTCTTTGTATCTTGCTTTTAATGCTATTTGCCCATTTTCAATCTGTATAGTTTTATTTTTATTTCTGATGTGAAAAAATTATTTATTAATAATTATACTGCCCTGACTGGTGTGGTTCAGTGGGTTGGGCATTGTCCTGCAAACCAAGAGGTCACCAGTTTGATTCTAGTCAGGGCACATGCCTGGTTTGCGGACCACATCCCTGGTTGGTAGTGTGTGGGAGACAACCAATTGACTGATGTTTCTCTCCCTCTCTCTCTCTCCCTCCCTTCCCTTTTCTAAAAATAAATAAATAAATGAAATCTTTAAAAAAATTATACACTAGAAAAATGTGTTTTTTAAGTGTGTCCCATTTTGGTTTTATTGTAAAATTTTTAATTCTTTTAAATTTTCTTTTTTATGATTATAAAATATGTTATCACTGCAAAAAAAGTCCAAAAACTAAATTAAAAAAAAACAAGAAAACCCTAAAGTATAGAGATTATTTTAACATTCTCTTTCTAATTAATAGTTGTTAACATTTTAGTGCAAGTCTTTCATGAGCATATGTGTATATTCTATATATATTTATATATGCCAATATGTAAAAACATCTATAGATTCATACACACATAGTTTTATTAAAAGGGATTATTTTTCTGCCTTATAGAATACATTTTTCCAATAAATATAGTTACCATTATTTCAACATATTTGAATGGCAGTCTAATATATACACATGCTAACCATTCATTCAACAAATATTTATTGAACCCCTTAACAATGCTATATACCAGCATTATTTTATAGTCACTGGGAATGAAGCAATATACAAAATCCTGCAAAGGTTGAGTATGAATGCTATTGGGGAAGATATACAGTAAACAAATAAATATTTTACATAATATAAATACTAAGGAAAAAAACAAAGAAGAGGCTAGTGAGTAACAGGTTGACAGAGGGGGAGATGCTACTTTAGGAAAGCTTTATAAATGAGCAGGGACCGAACTGAAATATGAGAGTACACCACACCAATCTTTAGGACAAACTCATTTTCGGCAGAGAAAGTACCAATGCTAGTTTACAAGGTAAGCCTTTAATAAAAGAAGTTTGATATTGGTTAATGTTTAGTTTACTTCCAATTACTTAAAATTTTAAATAAAATTTTAAACAAATTTGAAGAGACCATTCTTGTTAAAGCTTTTCTAAATTCTTACAAGTGTTCTAACTGTTCTCCTTAAATTTTATATTTGCTTTTCCTGTGTTGCATGTCTTCATGGCTATACTGTTAGAAAGATATGAAAATGTATATGAAATGATGTCAATTTGATGCCATCTTACTCCATGTGTTCTAATTTGTATCTTTGGAGGAAAAACACAAGTTTTACAAAAGAAAAAAGGGTTTCAGTATATTAAAATATAAATGTAATTTAGAGGGAAATTTTTATGTTAAGACAATGAAATGGGAATGACTTGCTTTTAGTTTGTACTACTACCTAATACTTTCTGTTTATGCCATTTTAATATCATGGGATCTTTAATAAAATCATTTAAAAATAAGGACTTTGACAAATAAAGCTTTTTTTTTCTTTGTTAGGTTGCTGATGCCAAGTCTTTCTCAGGTCCTTTTAATGTCTTGTCTGTGAAGACAACAGGGAGTAACATTGGCTTTCATATTCTTCTATTTGACTTGGAAAATCTTGTTGAACTTCTGCTGTCAATGTCAATCTGTGATAGTGACCCTTCAAATTCATTTTATGGTAGTGAGATGCTGAGAAGAGCCAAAAGTACAGGGGAGAAGAAAACACTGACGCTGAAAAGAAATAAAACTGCCTGTGGTCCCCTCTCAGCAGAGGCACAAGCCAAGCCTGTTAGTGAAACCCCAGCCCAAGGAGATAATTCCATCATAGTTTTAGAAGAAAATGATGGCATTAAAAGGCAGAAGAAAATGAAGAGCTCCAAAAAGACACGCCCTACATCATCAAGAAAATTTGATGCCAACCTCATCATAGATGCAGCCAAATTGCTCCTCTCCTGCCTCTTGCCATGGGGAGTGGATAAAGAATTAGATAATCTCTGCATTAAGCATCTCAATATTTCGAAGCTTCAGGGTCCAGTTTCTTTAGGACTTGCCTCAAATGAAGATCACTTCTCGTTGATGCTGCCAGGCTGGGATTTATGCAATGTGGAAATGAAAAATGACTATTCAAAAGGAAATTTATTTTCCAGGAAAGTTTTGGACTTGTCAAATAAGTATGCATCCACTCTTTCAAGTCAGGCCCAGATGCCAAGAGGACTGGGAAATAATTGTGATTCTTTGCATGAGGCAAACACTATAGTCTATTTATTGAGAAGATTATTTTTAGTCAACAAATTAGTTAACATGCCTGTAGAATTGGAGTATGGAATTGATAGGTAAGGCATGCCTAGAGATTTTGACTATTCTTGGTTGGGACATAAAAAAGTATCATTATTTGCTATATTCAACTCTCTAGCTTCTCTCCTCTCCTTTCTTTCTTCCTTCACATGAAGAATAAATATGTAACAACTCTTTTAGCTCCAAACAAATTTTAGAAAATATTTTTTCAATTTTGGGGATTGGAGGATAATTTCAACAATAGGTCCATGTTTTAAAATTTATTAATGCAATAAATATCCATTGTTCTCAAAATATGTGCCAAGAAAATCAGAGTGCTGGATACTGAATGATTCAATATTTACATAAATACATACCACCTTGAAATCCATTGTAATTGCTGTGAATTAGTATGCACAAAGAACTCAAGTAAATGCCTATGCTGACATATTTTGTATATCATAAGGAAAGGAAAAGTTTAAAAATTTCATACCTCAAATCCCACCATTTAATTTATACTGTGGCATATTAAAATAGAAGAGACCATCAGTAATTAATTTGTAGAAAGTACAGTTTAGTAATAATAACTATTGCTTTTGAGTGTTTAATATCTACTGGTCACCATGTTAGCCCTTTAAATACATGATTTTATTTAATATGCACAGCAAAGCTGAGTTATAGGTACTATTATTTTGCTCATTGAAGAGGTGAGGATATTAAGGCTTATGGAGAGAAGATACCAAACTCAAGATTAATTCAGCTTCTTAGAGTCGGACTCAAGGCTGACCATCAGTCTAATTCTAGAGCCTGATTAATTACTAACCTTGATTCTGAGTATTAACCCTCTTTCACTGCTAAAATTCAGTATAATTTTTCATAGTCTGATATTAGAATATTTAATTCAATTCACCCAGTGCTTACTGAAGATGTCCTAGCTTACAGGGGAAATATAAATAAATTTCTCACTGGGATATGAGTGCATGTGAATGAGAAAGATGATGCACATGAAATATGTGGAAAACATTGAAGTAAGGTAAAGAAACTAGGAAAAACATTTATTGTATAGGTTATTATAAGTTGTCAGTGTAAAGAGAAGAGTTAGTATGAGGTAAAACATCTAGAAAGCCTTTATAGAAGAGACACTGTTTGAACTCCCCAATACCTGGTGATAAATGGTTCTTGACATTTCTGTTCTTTGATAGGAGTTTAATTCAACAAATATCTGTGCCAGGCACTATATAATACAGAGTTTCTGCCCTCAGTGTACCTACAGTCTGGCAGCAAAGCAAATCCATATGGATTAAATAAGAGTCAGTATTATGCTTCCTTCCATTATAATGCTTTGTGCCACTGGAGTGTCCCTTTTCTCTTTGTGGGCCTAATAATGAGAAAACAGACTGGTAAATTTCAGTACTTTATTATCCTCTATTTTATTCTATTTATTTTAATTTCTTTTCAATTTCAGATAGGCTTCTTTTACTTTTCTTTCGATTACACAGAAAATTACATAGCACCTACAGTATGGTTTAAAAAAAAATGCAGTCAGCCTGGAGCCTGAAAACCTAGGAATGAATCCTGATTTTTTTTGATTAACTAGCCATGTGGCTTTGGCCTAGTCACTCAGCCCTGTGGGCTTTGCTTTCCTCTTTTACAAAATGAGATGGGTGGGGTAGATGATCATTAAGGTTTCTTCAAATTTTTACAATCTTGGGCTGCTAACAAAATACATTTATTTGCCTAATTGTGATCCCACAGAGCAGGTGAAGAACTTCATTATTTTTTGCCAGAGGGGTTCATTCTGAGTTTGCTCCTGATTGCAAAGTACCAGAGCACAGGGTGTGTCTTTAGGGGAGATGACGGGCTTTCCATGCCTTCCCTGAAGTGGCCTTGAAATTGTTATTGCACTTTTGTTAATTCTTTGCAGAATTCTCCATTAAAACAAATTATTGAATAGAGGTGTCAGGATTAGAGACTGGTTCCCTAGATCAGTCACTTCAGATTTGATATGCTGTAAGAGACTTCATGTCCTTTTGCAGGAAATCAAAATAATGTGTATTAGATTTGTCACACCAAATCCTTCCAACAAATTGGACCATCTCAGTAGCACTTCACTGTGGCTGTGAAGGTTGAAAAAGCTTTGCTTGACAATCGGTGCATGGCATAACTGAAGTTCAAGGAAAGGGCTATCTGCCTCTGAGAATATCTTTGGACAGTATCTGAAAGTTGCTGCTGAGTCACTGGATTAGAGTAAAGGCTGCCTTCATCAGGTCCTGCCGGTACCCAGGGAGAATTCTTTGGCAGATATAAGCATATTAGGATTCAAAACGTATTGAAATAGCCACAAATTAATTGCATGGCCTAGAGTAGCAGGACCGCTTCTGCAGAAGTGGGTCACAAGATAATACTGGCAAACTGATCCACAGTTCAATTGGGATTAAGGTTTTAGGTAGGAGCAAAGTGGGGGAATAAGATTCATCACAGAGATTAATGTGGAAGACATTGCTAAAAAAAATCTGTGTTCACTTCCCAACTTTGTTAAATTCATCATGTGCTCATGTCCCCAATCTATTTTTCAAAATATTTTTCATACATCTTTAATAATATTCTTTAAATCTTTTTTTCAACAGCTCTTTCAAAATGGAATCCATGCACAACAAAGTGAAAAGTCCTGGGAATGATATTCTGCATATTTCAAGCTTCTACAGTTACTTACGGAATGGTAAAGAAGTCACAGATATAGCCTGTATTTTTTTTTCACTTCTACGATATAAAATAACTAGTGTTTCAATAACTGGATAGCACTCTACAGTTTAGAATGAGCAATGTGTCTATTTAATGTTTGACTTAGTCTGCATTTCTCACGGTTATATTATTGTATTCTTCCAATATTGAAATATGTATAAACATTTTTATTAAAATAAATAACATAAGATATGCAATGTAATGATTTCATCAAATGATCTTTGAAATGCCTGGCAGTCTGAAACTTGCTGAAAGTCTGAAATACTGTATATTAAATTAAGGTCTTATGGGGAAGCTTATTGCATCAGTATCTTTATTACCAAATGAGGGAATTACTATATTAGAGAATTTTAGAGTTATTTCAGAAGTCATATAAAGGTCCTTGAAATCTTCTGAATGACAACTTTGGTGTTTAGATTTTCTTTCAATGCCAAATGGCTAATTCATTCCCAAAACCTGCTTCTCCAAAATTTAGACATCTCAGTAAATGGCAATTCTATCTTTCCACTTGTTCAGGCCAAAAAACGTTCTTGTCATTTTGACTTTTCCCTTTCTCTCATATCCCAGATCCAGTCTTTCAGTAATCATGTTGACTCTACCTTCAGAATATACCCAGATTTTGACTGCTTCCCTCCACGACAGAACCGCCTTTCTTGACTCCTAATCATCTCTTGCCTTGATGTCTACAGAAGCCTCCTAAGAACCCCTCTGCTCCTATGGTTGGTTCCTGTGCCCCATTCTCAACCAAGCAACTAGAGTGATCTATCTGAAACTAAGTCAGAACCTCATGCTTTTGCTTAAAAACCTTTCAGAGGCTTCTGTGTCACTCCAAAGAAAAGCTGAGGTGCTTAAGTAGCTTACAAGACCCTATATGAGCTGGCTTTTCTACCTACATCACTGCACGCACACCCCACTCTGACCTCACCTCTTTGTATTCCCTTCTCTCTTCCAGTGGTCCAACTAGACTGGCCTTTTTATTCTGTTACCTAAACATGACAGGCAGGTCTCAGGGCCATCGCACTGTCTGTTTCCTCTGCCTGGAATTCTCTTTCCCCAGATTCCTTGGAGGTTGGTCTGTTGCCCTTCACCTCCATCCAACACCCTTCAGTTCTTGTTTAAATGCCATTTCATCAATGACGATGCCCTCCCTTCTCCCAGCACGCCCTACCCCTTTCCGTGTTTTGCTGTTTTCCACAATCCTTTTTACTATCTGACATATTATATATCTTTTTTTTAATTTGCCATCTTCCTCCTGCTAGTAAAAAGTAAGTTTTATGTTTAATAATTGGAAGATGGGAGGTAAAGGGGAGGGAGGGATTTATTTCATGTTATTAATTCTATAATCAAAGCCTGAAGAATAAAATGACACTGTGGTGCTCATTCTAAAGGGTGGACAGGACCCAGTGCCCACTGCTGTCAGCAGGAACGGTGACTAGGTAATATTGGGAAACTGGGATGCTTTCTTTTTCTCTTTCCCCTCTGATGTTGCAATGAATTTTTTTAACCGACATTGCCAAGAAAAGTTGGCTCTCATTTCTACCTCATATTAAAATTTTAACATCACATTAAAGTGCGTTGTAAAGTACCCCATGATGCCAGTAAGTAGTTACAGTTGAGACCAATACTTCGCTTTGATGGTAAAATCACAAGGTCAACAAAAAGACAGGGGAAGAAAGGAGAGAGATCAAAAAAAGTTCTCTTACCTGCTGTGCTCATGAAAAATAGAAAATATGATTTCAGAATTATAGTGCATGCTTGCATGCTTTATGCACTGATCTTGGTCATTTCAAATTCATATTATATGTTTCATCAGGAAGAAATAATGATATTAATAAGTTTCTTATATATATATTTCTTTCATGTTCTCAATTTACATTATATCTAATACCTTCTGACACATTTCCCCTGACCATTAATGTAATACACACAAATACCCTTATCTATTTAATATTTAATATTTAAAATGGTGATTTAATGAAATACAGATTGAACTATACTAATTTTAAAATTGATAGCAGGATTTCAAACATATATTAATACATTAATTTAAATAGACAATTATCGTCATTTCCCCCCCAGCACAAGCTCTCATTGTTTTTGTCTCACTCCCGGGATCTGTCACCTGGTTAATGCATTTTACCTATCAAAAAGCTAACTTAATTCATCGATTTTTCCACTTGGGTGATAATATGTACATTTTCAATTAATGCAAAGGCACTTATAAAGTGCATTTTTGTGTAGGAAACTGCTGGACACTCTATAGATCAACTTAAATAAACCAAACCTTAGCTCACTCTTAAAATTTCACACTGAACATTAAGGTAAATGGATAGAAAGAAGATTCAAGAGGGCAAACTTAAAAGAAACAATACATAACAAAATGAGGCAAATTGAAACAGAAGTGCTGTACCTATTGATCAGAGTAGTACAGCTGGTTAAAGACAAACCAAAGGAAGTCTTTTATATGATTTCTGTGTGAGATGCAATGTATAATTTTAGAAACTATTTGTATGAAAAAGGTATTATAAAATTTGGTGATCTGTTTGGGTGGAAAAAGCAATAGTCATTGCTTTTTGTTGGCAAAAGGGTACAATGATGGGTTTCAGGTGTACTTGTAAAGATGAATTCGATTTAATGTGAATTTGTATTAGTATAATTATTTAAAATACATATAAATTAATTAATGGTTCTTGACTGTGGCTATATCTGAAAATCTTCAGAGGTACCTTTACAAAGCATTAATGCCTACCCCACCCTCAGCCTGAGATCTATTAAATCAGAATCTCTGGTAGACTGACCCCGGGCATTGGTGTTTGTGAAAGCAAATCTACCCAGGTGATTCCAGTGTGCAGCTGGAGTTGAGGATCATTGGGATGCACCCATTTTTAATACTTTCAGGTTATAAACATGTTCTATATATTTCCAGGTAAGAATGAATCCCATATACCTGAAGCTGACAGTTCACTTTTGAAACTAATTTCCTGTTGGAGAGACCAGTCTGTGCAGGTATGACACAGCTCATGTTCTTGAAATTATGGAAGAGCTCCTTGCTGCTGTGTTTCATCCCTACCCTCCTCTACTCAAAAGCACAAGTCAGTTGGTACTCTTGTCCTCACAAAATTTCCTCCCAGGGCATTTCATTTAACAGAGCTAATACAGAGACTAACGATGAGGGAGGGGGAAAAGTGGAAGATAATTATGCAAGGATGCACCAAGTGAGGGGAAAGAATGAACAGAGCTAAGGAAGAGATGTTCATGTCATTAGCAACTTACTGCTCATTGAGTTTTCTGTTTGTGGCAGAATTGTCTATTATTTTATTTTAAAATGTGTCATGATGTAAAGGTTCCTAGGTTTAGGAATTTGGTAAGTGTAATTAGAAATCATTTTTCTATCCTGAGAGTACATCATCTATGAGTGGATTTAGAGAGGTGGTTTCAATGCCCAATTTAAGTTTTTTTCTCTTCCCAAGCTTTTTTTTGGGTCCTAAAAGCTCAGTGGATAGCTTTGTACATTGTACAAAAAATATCTGTGCATTGATTAGATAAATAATTATTGGAACATTATGATCTTATTGACTATCAAATTTGTATGACAAGAATAGCAATAACTCCAATTAAAAATTGTTACTTTTGGTGACAGGAAAACAGAAAATGAACTCAGAACAAGCTGAGGGGTTGACACTTTGAAGCCAAACAAACACAATCAGAATGGCTATTGAAGCTTATTACCATGGCCTACAAGTTTTTATATGATTTGCCCCGGCTTGACCTCTTTGCTCATCATTCTCTCTTCTATTCTTACTAACCACATTGATCTTCATTTCCTCCTCAGGACCTTACTGTTTTCTTAAGCTGGGATTCTCATTTTTCCATTCATCAATCGCTCAAAGCCAACTTCTCAGACAGGTCTTCTCTGATCACTCCACCTAATAGTGTCCCCTTCCCTCCCCCAGCCCATGCCTCTAGTCCCATCACATACCCAGTTTTGTTTTCTTTGTTGTGCTTGTTTTTAGTGGAAATTATACCGTGTGGGTTTTATTGTTGTTGTTTTGTTTTCTGTTTGTTTATCTTCTATCCCTCACTGTTACAATTTGCTGAGAGCAGGGACTAGGTCTCACTCGCCTTTCTTTGAGCAGTGGCCAGAAAACTGGTAGTGACAGTAGCCAGTCAATAAATATTTAATGAATGAATGAATGAATGAATAGCTATACAAAAAGACCCTGTGATAATCAAGTGAACATTAGTATATGTTGTCTTAATGAGCATACTAGCAATCACCCTAAAAGAGTCTATTAAAGGTGAGATTTCTTTTTCTTTAGTAGCCAAAGAATTCCACAATGGGGAAAAGTCCTTAAGGAAAAGAATTCAACAGTACATTTATCCTGAACCACTCCAACTAAAGATCTTTTGTAGTTGTTCATTTGACCTTCAGATAAGTTTTAATGTGATTTGGACACATTTAGACTAATGGATCTTTTAGGTTGTATGATTCTATGACCTTGTGCAAAATGCTGGGAGCAGGAAAAATATTACCAGAGCATTTATGACTCATACTATAGGAAGTCCAAGCTTTACAGTTTTTCTCTCTTCTCGGCCACTACCCTGATGAATGACCCTAGAAGATAGATTCAACTTTATTTATTTTCCTCCTGTGTGTAGTGGGAATGAGAATTCCTGGGTCCTTTAGGAAAAACAGACTTTTGCAAATATTCATTTAAATGCTTCATTAACCAGTCCTCAAATTACTAATAAAGCTGTTCATTTAAGAAGTTAGTTCAATCATTTTAATTTGAATCTACTTTTCAATGTATTTTAAGAGCACTAGGTGAGAACGGAATACTTTTATAAAATGGAGTAGAATCCTACTTCAGAAATCGAATGGGGGGATGCCTTTAAGGGAGGAGTGAGGAGTATGAATGAGTTCATACTCCAGATGAATGAGTTTGTCTGGGGATTCTCTTCTGTTTCTCACCTAAGAAACATACCCAACAAAGAAATAAATGCTGGAAAAGCAAAAGAAAGGTTTTGGATTTGCTATTTTGCATGTTTCTGAAGCTTCATTGGAGTTCTTGGGATTTTATAATCTCACTCCAGCAGGTGAAACATGAGATCCAAGCCCCCAAGGCAGAAGTGTTACTTTTTAGGAGATGCTGAAAAGGCATGAAAGGCCAGTGTGAGCTGACTGCTGGGGAAAAGCTTTTACACCAGAAAATCGGACATTGGACGACACACAGACCTCGGGGTCTCTTATGAGTCTTCGTAACATTTTGTGCTATTTCACTTTGCTGTTTCATGGTGTTAGTAGAAAACCATTAAAATTTTTAGCTTGCCTATGGCACTGTAGTACTTCTAGTAATAAGTATATGTCCCAGATTTGTGGCTGTCTCTTTCCAGCCAACGAATTGGTAAAGCTTATTTTAAATCCCTGCACATTCCCTCACAAGTGTATAATACTTTGCATATGATCTATTTTTAAGAAACTTGCATTTGGAAGACAGCTTTACAGACATAGTACTTTCAATTCTAGCTATTATTAAAATCAGAAAGTTTGTAAACCACTGTATAAATTTTATATTTTGTTGGGGTAAATTTTATCCCTACCACCTACAAATTTTTTTCTACTATATATACTATAGAAACTCAAGTATTGATAGTTAGACATTATCAACAAATTCTACTTTCCACAGTTTATATTTTTAAAGTGTACAGAATCTAATTTCAATTCCATTAGTATTCACTTAGTGCCCACTGTATACCAGATACTGTGATAATGTTATTACCTACTTATAAGCGCTGTCATTTCTCTGAATTGGAACCATGCTTTGTTGATTTCACACTGAGCATAAAGTGTGTATTTTGAGTTTGTTTCCAGCTGGGGGTGTGCCATTCAGTATTCGCTTTTAGGTTTTGTGGTTCTGAGTATCCTACTCATTATTTTTAACATGTTTTATCCTGCTATTTTTACTTCCCCTTGTTTTTTAATATTATTATTAATTCTTATATGTATCTGTAGTGACAAATATGTCAAAAACAAAATTCAATAGTTAAAAATGTGGTCATAATATAGAAATCCAATAGTTAGAAATGTTACATGAAATTACATAAATTCCCATATATTTTTAAGGAAGAATACTGACCCAAGTTGTTATAGACCATTCTACTCAGTGGGATAGAAAATATTCTAAATCACAGTTATGGGCACTCCTTAGAGATATAACAACCGCAGGGAGAGGGCAGCCAAGATTCCAGGAAGGAATATGGCCAAACTGCCCTTTTTGAGGGCTAGACCATAACTTAGATGTACCGTGGGTCTGAGACATCCTCCACTACTAGCCTTCCGAATTAGAGTTATAGACAGAAGAAAGTTCCACACAAGATTCTGTGGCTGGAAGCTCTCATTCCAGTGTCTCACAGTCTCACAGACTTTGTTTTGTGAGTGAGCACATGAAGACCCAGAGAAGGAAGTATCTGAACTTGCCCAAGGCAGCATTTGTAGTTACCACATCATAGATTCGGCAGAAACTTGGGCTTTCTCATTTCTGACTTGAAGCTCTTTAGACCACATCATCTACATCTTCTAATCAGTACTGTCAAATAAAATGTGTAACAAAATTAAAATGAAATTCAGTGATGTAAAATTATTTATGAATAATTTAGTCTATTCCATCATATGATATACATAAATAAGCATGGTTCACCCAATTGTGATGGAGTATATGTTAGTAAGCATTATTTTAATAGTTAATATAGTATCATATGTTATAACATGGTAGATATTGACAGGCATGATTCACCAGTATCATGATATGTAGAACATGATATGTAGTTAGATTCATGGCATGCAATAGCTGACAGAGTGTTGAGAATCTCATCATGTGATATGCATGAGGAAGCATTACATACCTGTACTGTGACAGGCAGTACTATGATGTTAGTAGACATGGTATGCAATGGTACAATCACTTCATTCTACCTAACCCAGAATTTGAGTGGACAAGAATAGAGGGATGATCAGTGATCAAGAAGCCACTCTGATACATTTGGGAAGCTTCCCATATTGAAGGTCAAGGGCCTGGCTCCTTCTCCCCCACTAGTTCAGTAAGTGTCTGCCATCAGCAACAGCTCTTTGAGTGTCCCTACAGTCTAAAAGTCTCCTATGCTGCTATGCCACATAAAAAAGACCAAATAAATATTTAGATGAATATATGTTCTGTTTTTGGCATCAGCCTCTCTCCATACCAGTCTCAGTTAGTGTCGTCCCAAAGCCCAAGCCCTAGAGATTGTCTGAGTAGATGGAGATAATGCAGAGGAGATGGTAGGGCATGAGTCATTGGAGAGCAGCCTTTGGAGGGGGAAAGGAGCAGCCATTGGGTTGTGGTCATATGAAAGGTCTAACTGTCAGCCAGAAAAGGATAATGGAAGGTGTCCCAAGTTCACCTAGATCAGTGGTGACCCTCCTTTTTTCTCACTGATTCAGCACATGATTTTCCTTGAACTTAACTCCTGGACCTTGTCTCATTCTCTCTGGAAAGAGGCTGAAGTACACTGGCTTTTTACTCAGGGGTAACAATATAGAACTTTGAAATGAGATATACAAAAGGACATAGAAGCAAAGCTCAGAAGGCCGATTCACAAAGTCTGAGTGGAACTTGGGATGTCTTGTCCCAGATTCTTCATTTTAAAAATGAAGATAGTGGAGAGATGCCCTCAGACAAGCATTCTCCCTCCCCCTCCACTGAACCACAGATCCTTGACTGGGTATATACAACAATCAGAAGTTGAATTTTGCAGTATTTTGAGCTATGTAAAGCCACATACACCAAGTTTAATGAGATTTGTTATTAAAGTTTTGTCTTCAACCTTCTGTATTAAACCTAGTTTAAATCAAATGTTTTAGGCAAATAGTGCTTTAGAGCTAGGCATTGTTTGAGGAGCTAAACTTGTCTTTAAGAGCATTATGATATACTCAAATTAATTTTATGTATTTTCTGGTAGAAATGAAAATGTCTTAGTAGAAAGAATTCAGAACTTCTTTGTTTTCCTCTGTAATCTCTTGCATTTACAAAAGAACAATGTGTGGTTTGGGTGCCAGTTCTCAGTATCTACCAATTGTTTCAGATACTAATCTGGGTGGAATGGAGCATTGCAATTTGTATGAAACCTTCTCATCAAAATTCCAGGCTTTGGGTTTTGTGCAAGACCCCAAATATTTGCAACAATACTAAATATAATTTTTATGGATACACAAACTTAACAGGTAACTGAAGCAATACAAGCTGTCCTTTTGGTGGAAGTTCAACAGCACATGAAGACCTTGAGAAAGACACCAATCAACAATCAACCTGGGTCCATGACTGAAACAGATAACTATCAGGTGATACAGACGCGGCCAAAGATGGAATGGACCGAGGAGCTGGAGTTACAGTGCATTACAGACAGTTTGCCACTGCACAGTGAGTACAAAATTTATTGGCGTGCTCTTTCATCAGAATTTTTCTACTACTTAGTACTTGCTGAGAATATGAGTTCACAATATATCATTTCTGCAAAAACCGAGCCAAGTGCCCTGTTTTTGACCTGTTCTGCTATCAATTTCCTCTTACAAGTGTCAGGTTTTTAAAGAACTTCTGAATTGTATTAACCACTAAATATTTTCCAAAACAAAAATTTATATCATTTATAAAAATGTTTTGACGTTACGTGATTAAAATTAAAAACAAGATTAACAGTTATAGCTTAATACATTCTAAGGATACCCTGATAATAATGGGTCCTAGGTTTGTTTTCATTTGATACCTTGATAATAGCCATATGCCAGATTATTTTCTTTTTTGGGGAATAAGAAATACAATACAAACTAATATTAAAGGGGCTTATAGTTGGACCACATTATTTTATAACACATTTTATCTTCATAATTTTATAATGATGATGCTTATGGTTTATGGCTAGCTAGTGAACCTAAATTTTTGTTATAAAACATTAACTAATTTTCAGCCATTACTGTGACTTTAGAAAAAGAAATAAGAACAGTGAAAAAATAAGTATAAATTTGATTTTCAAATAGTAAGCTTTTGATGAACAAATTTATTTATAATATGATTAAATGTATATTTTTGTCAGGGAAACATGTTAGAAATTTACATGTTCTGGGTTGTTAAGAATTGTTAGGTACACAAAAAGAACTTTATTTTTATTTATTTGGAACTCAGAGAAATGTTGCTGCTATTAAAATGTTTAAATCTTAGATGAGGTGTTATTCTTAAAAATGCATTATACTTATTTCTCCTTACTATTTTTATAAGATTACTGATTGGAGAGCACTATGTAATGATAGAAGACATATAGCAGGGGAAAAAAAGCACTTCTTCAGTGAAGGCGAAAAATCAAAATAGAATATTTCCCCATACCAAGACAGCTATTGAAGATGGAAAATTCAATAAGTAATTTGATAAAGCTCAATGGTGATTTCAGATCATTTATTTGTTTGTTGTCCAGAAATTAGCTTTAATTATCTGATAAATTCACTCACTTGAAGGAGCTCCTTTTTGATCATATCATGTAATTATAGTTGTATTACATATTTCAAGCAAGAAGCATAAACATCCCTTTTTAAATTAATTTTCAATGACTATATTTGAGTTCTTGATTCTTTGGGAGAGGCACCCTTAGTATCATTAGTAGGTTTCTCCCAACTCTCCAAAGACTGCTAGTGCTGTTCATCATTTGTTAATGTTCATTAGGTGGCATATCTGCGCCTTATCCCTAACCTTGACTGTCTAAATTAGCCATTGCCCCAAAGCCCTATTTTCTGGATAAGAAATTCATGGCAGGCTATCAAGGTGAAACTTTTGATGTTTTGCTATCACATGGGTTACCCACTATTTGAAGTTTCACTGAGGCCCTGCTCTGTCCCCAGTTAATTATTGGGTATAAGAACTATCAGTAGTAGGGAGTTTACTTACTATGTATGACTAAAGACATCCAGATTCCATGTTAGACATTAACTATCTTTTGATTATTACTGAATGATTCCTTGCCCATGTTAAAGGAAAATTTAGGATTAGTTTGTGATAAGAATTGAAGCACAAAAATACTACAGCTATGTAGTTAACATGTTTGTGTATAAAATTTAGAATATTTTATTTAAAAGAAATATGCTCACAAAAATCTGAGCAAATATATTTTGGAGAAATGCTGCCTGCAAGAAAACATTAACTGCAATTACAAGTAAATCAGAAACACATAACCTATACCGAAGAGAAAATTTTTCAAGTAATATTATATTGGAAATTAACATTGCCTTTTCCCTCCTTTTAGAAAAGATTTATTTTAAAAAAACTAGTCAGGGAAACTTAGAAAAAATATAGGAACCTTTATACCCTTATTACAATGGTATATACTATATACTTGATGGAATTAAAAAATTCAATCACTACAAAAAGCTATTTGTTACTTTTTAAAAAATTGGTTGGGTTAACATTGGTTTATAGGGTCGTATAGCTTTTAGGTATACATTTCTATGATACATGATCTGTATATTGCATTGTGTGCCCATCACCCAAAGTCAAATCATCTACCATCACCATATATTTGGCCTTCTTTGCCTTTTACTACCCTCCACCCCCTTCCCTCTGGTAACCACCATGCTGTTGTCTCTGTGTATCTGTGAGTTTTAGTTTTATATCCAAGATATGAGTGAAATATGTTCCTTAGTTTTTTCTGACTGACTTATTTCACTTAGCATAATATTCAAGATCCATTCATGTTGTTCCAAATGGCAGTATTTCATCTTTTCTTATGGCTGAGTAGTATTCCACAGTATATATGCACCACATCTTTATCCAATCCTCCATTGAAGGACACTTTGGTTGTCTTGGTCACTGTAAATAGTGCTGTAAGTAACATAAGGATGCATATATTTTGTGAATAAATGTTTTCTTTCTTAAAATTTTCATTTATTTATTTTTAGATAGAGGGAAAGGGAGGGAGATAGAGAAGGAGAGAAACATTGTTGTGTGAGAGAAACACTGATGAGTTGCCTCTTGCATGCGCCCAGTTGAAGACTTGGCTACAGGCATGTGCCCTCACTGGGAATGGAACCAGAGACCTTTTGGTTTGTGGGATGACGCCCAACCTACTGAGCCTCACCAGTCAGAGCTCAAGTAAATGTTTTCAAGTTTTCCAGGTAGACACCCAGAAGAGGGATTGCTGGGTCATATGGTAACTCTAATCTTATTTTTTTGAGGAACTGCTGTACTGTTTTCCATAGTGGATGTACCAAACATTCAAAGGAGATTTGATGACTGTTCTTCTCAAACTCTCCCAAAAAATTGAAGTAGAGGCAATCTTCTATTTATCTCACATGTCTTGATTCAAAGGTTAAAGAGATGGTATAGGTACTATTCAGTAATGTGATAATTCTTCAACTTTTGTAGGCAGATTTACTTAGTCAGAATGTCATTGCAACATATATTATTTTACCAAATATTCTTATAAGTGGTTTATTTAACTTAATTTTATCAGGTCCTTGCTCCTTTGTCCTCTGTTAGCTCTCTTCCACTATATATATTTATTCTTTTTATTCTTAATTTAATTTATTTAATTTTTTTCTTGCTTACTTGAGGCATTCTCTTTGCAAATCATTCTGAAAGTAACAGATGATGGTTTTATTATGCAAGAATACTAAAAAACTTCTTTAATGCCAGGGCATAGTATACAAATATTTGGTTTACTAATAATAATAGATCAAGAAAAGTAATAATAACAACAATTATCATGTCCTTAGTACACTCTAACATGATACTAAGCACTTTATGAATGTTATCTCATTTTTTTTCCTTTGATTCTTACGTAACTCACATGAACAAAGTCCCTGTTTTCAACAGTTGAGTCATCTATGTAAACAATTTTACAGTTCTTTTAAATGTTCATGGAAATGAAATTACAAATACAACTGAAAAAATTCTGTGAGAAAAAGAGATTCCTGATAAATTGCCTCTTTAATTTTTTATTTGACATAATTATATGTCTCCTTCATGTATATTAAATAATATTTTTAAAAAGTCCACCACCATACACAGCTATATTGAATGCCACCAGTTGTATGTATTTTGCACCTTGAGACACACTTTCTATTATTATTCCTTTTTTTTTTCCGTCTACAGTCAAAAAATTACTAAAAACAGGCATGCAACCTCAGATATTCTCTTAAACACTGTGTTCTTGTCCAGTAAACTGAATTTCCCATACTGGCAGCTTGAGGGCAATTTGCTCTAAATCAGCTTGATCTGAAAATTGAATAATTTATTGAGTGGTTTTCTTAGGTTTTTATTCCTCTTTCATAAATCATACTTTCTATTAACAAAGAGTGTTCAATCGTTGCCATATTAGCCCTTATGATAAAGAAAATCACGAGATTTCTTGAATTATTTGTGCATGAGATGAATTTAGAAAGCAGTGGAAATGAAATGAAATGAAAGTTGAAGCACAATGTGTTTGAACTTTATAATTTTGTATCTTATTTATTTTCACGGTTTTCATTTTTTACATTTCACAGCATGCATTTTATTTGAGATTTTAACATTTGTGTCTTGGTATTTTATGGGAGAGCGGTAGATTTTATCTGGGTTTACATTTTTATAATGACTACATTGCTATCTTCCTTAAATCTCTTTGATAAGAAATTGTATAATTAACACTCACATTTTTAGCTAAAATGACAGTATTTTCTATTATTAAAATACATTTGAAAGTTATTTTCCTTTATTTTTTGAATGGGATTTGGATCAGTTTAAACAAGTGTTCTAAATTATTCCATTAAATAAATTGGTTTAAATAGAAATGGAGGCTTTGTAGATAAAGCTGTCACCTGGAATTATAGGTTGAATTTAAATTCACATTAAAGTGTGTTTGTGAACATCATGCATCACATATAGGTATTACAAATAATCTGTATTAGATGCATTGCTTTCAAAGACTTATCTGCAAAATTAAATAATGAAAATGTGCTTTGTTTAAATAAAACCATGCACATGTAGTAAATCAAGGAAATAAACATTGATTCAACAGAAGAGTTTTGTGGCCCTGGTGGCCAATAGCAGAAGGACTGACTTGGGACAGGCCTCCTCTGCCTGCTGAATTCCTCAGAAGGAAATCTGTCTAGTTGTTGAAAGGCTTTGAAACATAGTTGACTACTTTACAGGGAAATGCTTTCTTGACTGTATTTGTAGCAAATGCATTTTCCACCACCCTCTGTGAGGTCTTCAGGCTAAGTGAGAAGGCCAATGTTCTTCTCTGTGGCCACGGAAGTCATTTAGGAAAGGTCTGTGTGATGTGAGTGAGCAAGGAGCAGAGAAGTGATGGGGGGAGGAGCATTTAATAGAAGGCCTTAGTTGTGATAGTGAGACCTTAGGTTCTCTGAGATTGAGTGGCAAACCATTTGAGCAGACAA